TTGGCAATAAATTGTATGATTTATTAAGGAGAAAGATAAAAACAGTATCGTATTGCATATAAAAAGTAAGGATTAGGTTAATCAGAGAGCCGTACGTTTTTCGATCAAAATTTGATCGAAATTTGATCTTTCAAAAAGACGATCAAATTTTTATTGTCGCTATTACAATTGTAGTCCAATAATATGGCGTTCTGAATTCAAAATTTGATCGATCAATCTGGCTGAGCACCCCCTATATATATATATATAAAATAAGGCTCATGGCGCTCTTGAACCCAGAGTCAGACACTTTTTATAATGATCTAAGTTTTTTCTCGAGTTTGACTATTGGAGTATTAATGGTGTATTTGACATAATGATAAATGAAAAGAGAAGGAAAGATATATCACCAGTTTGTTCAACGTCTGTCTTTACTCATTCTAGACATTTTTTTTATTGAGTTACAATCCATGTTCTGGCTCACAAGCCCTTCAATTCATTGTTTTAGATTATCAGACAATCTTAAATTGATAGTGCTCAGGATGTTGCCAGTTGTACTTAACAAGGACAGCACCATTAGTGTTGCCCAATTTGAGAAGAAGTATTAAGGGGTATACGCGTAATAGAATTTTGCCTAACGTCACTCATATTATATGTGCAATGTGACTTTCTTTCCCGATTGGTGAAGTACTGTTGCTGGACTAATTCTACTTCCTAGAAAGAGTTTATATATTTTTGAGAGGTAGAGAAGCTAAAGCAGGGGGAGAGGGGTAAAAGGAGACATTTTTGGATTATTATTTATATTTTCTGGTATATGCCCTTTTGTTTTTTTTTAGAACTGGGTGACTTGCTTTGGATAAAGAGCTGAAGGACATTAGAATTATTTTAAGGATTATCTTGATGACAGTATCTTCGCGTATGACAACTGTGCTAGGTAAGAAGGGCAGGTTGATATTGATCGATTCATTAGCGGGTGTAAATACATTGGTTGACCTATATTTTTGTGTTTTGTTTTTTTTTTGTAGTGAACAAACTGTCAATTATAATTGGGCTGAAGTGTCTCGGAGACACTTTCGGTTTGGGTTGCCGCTATTTCTTCCGGTTCATTGCTCCTGGAAGACGATGGTTTTGTGACCATGTAATTTTTTTTTTAAAAAAAAAATGTCTTTTAGATTTCTTTAGACGCGTGGTAGCTTTATATAGATATAAAGGTATATGGTAGTGGAGTTGGTAAGAATGGTAGGAAAAAAAAGGGCGGTGAAGGATAGAGGTGGTCAAGTGTACGATTTTGCTAAATGGGTAATTTTCTGTTTAGTCAGCCAGATTGATTTCATATGTCTGCTCACACTAAAATAGAATGAAAGTCAAAGATTGGTACAATTTGTCGTAGTTTTAATATATATTAGAGTTAAGATGGGAGGCTTAATTGCACAAATGTTGTTGTGTAATATATGATATAATTAAGATGGCTTCTGTAGGTTGATTCCCTCTCTTTCTTTCCATTTATTTATTTATTTATTTATTTAATTAATTTTGATTTTTCGCTACTCCAAAAACCAAAAAAAAATATTCCAAAAAACAAAAACAAAATAATGCCAGACGTTAACAGCAATACAGAATTTACTTTTGATTATAGCCGACGAAGCCCTGTTACATATCAATCATGGAAAAAACTCGATGGCGGCAAGGACAACATGTCTGGTTTAGGGAGACTCTTGCAGTTTTTGCTCAAAGATGATGGAAAAAATCTGTATTTGTACATTGGTCGCTCTAAGGAAGGATATAAGGTCAAGGCATCCAAAACGAAGGTCATCAATGAATGCAAGCAGATTTTCTTGGACCAAGGAATTAGCAGAACAACTGCACAGATTAAGACCAAGTTAAACAACCTGTTAAACAAAAAATACCGTCGCGCATATAATTTATGGACTGAGAGTAACGAAAGCCCTTTTAGCGGTGATAGATCTGAAAGCGAAAAAGAAGAGTTGGAGAGTAGGTCAACCCTTTAACATACACACACATTTATATGCAGAGTTATTATTAAAAATTGAATCTAATCTATACACCTCAATAGAGAAATGTAATGAGATCTGTCAAGACTTTTTTAAACTGAAAGAAATCTTGGGAGAAAGACCAGAGGCACCGCCTGTACAAGTCATTAAGGCTCCTGTTATCGAGGTTGAAAAAGAGAACCCTGAACCGGTTGCTCCCCAAGAAGTAGCAGCAGCAGTAGTAGTAGAAGAAGAAGAAGAAGCTGATGATGATGACGATGAGGATGATGATGAAGAAGAAGAAGAGGAAGAAGAATTGGATGAAGGTGAGAATAGCGACGAAGATTCCAGTTCACCTTCTCTGGATAATCAGCCTAGTTCCGCGAGCTCTGGGAGAACTCGGGGTAAGAAAAGAGCAAATTCTTATCTGCAAGTCGCAGAAGAGAACAAGAGAAATTCGCAAAAAAGAGCAAAGGCATTGGAAGAAAGTGTCAAGAAATTCAATTCTGCAAAGATTGCCATGATAAAATCTCAGCATGCAAAGGAACTGGAAGCTAGACAGAGGAAAGATCATTTGGATGCAGACATCAAGATCATTGAAATGAAAGCCAAGTTGTTTGGTTGGTCTGAGGAGAAGATAGATGAAGAGCTTCTCAAATGTCGTAATAAAAGTACTTGCTAACTGACCAGTATGACTTGTTTTTTTGTGTAAGAGCCAGTATTCTTTTTTCTTTTATTCTTTCTTTCTTTATAAGGTTGAGTATCATGTTTAATACTTTATGTAAGTATTCCAGATTTTCTTTTGAGATAATTCCATTCTGTTACCAAATTTATCAAATAAAACCCCGATTTCATTTGACAGTTGTCAAAAACCAAAAACCAAAAAATGATCGTAATCCATATAAAAACGACCATAAGAACAGAACTTGGAGTACCCAATTGAACCAAAAGCAAATACTGAGGTGGTGAATACGTATGCACTTGTATTTTATTATCAGAATCAAATAAAGAGAGTGACATACAATTTCAAGATAACGGACACTGCTGTTGTTGTCATTTGATTAGCTCACTTTTAATACTTCTAAAGTGGAATGAATGAAAATTAACCCCCCCCCCTTCCCTTATTCTTAGAGGACAAAACAAAAAAATATGTATGTACAATATCAATCGAATTTCTTCATATTTGACCCTCTCGTTACTTAATCCTACTTTTGAGAACCCCACCAGAAACATTATATAAATATATACATTCTAAAGAGATTGTGGAAGTATCAGCAGGCACAGGTACTTCTGGAACCAACTACTTTGACTCTAGAAGTTTATTAGAGAGATAGAAAGTTCATTTGTTTTCTTGGTCATCTTTTACACTTCTCACAAGTGCTGAGCTGGTTTGTGGGTGAAACGCTGTAACAGATAAAGTTTAAAGCCTGTTATCAACTGGCTCATATAAAAAATACTCTGATAAAGCTCGGCGGTATCCAACCGTAAAGATATGAGATGAAAACATATAAGAAAAAAGGGGAAACTATTTCAAGAAGTATTGTACTATTGGTTAAAGGATAGGAATCAAGGATTTCATGACAAAGGTTTCTATTGACAATAACCCGAGCCGGGTAGAAAAAAATATATCAAATATTCACCGGACTTGTCCGAGGAACTTTCTTTTTTTCTTTCTTTCGTTTTCAACCCCCCACTTCATATATATATATATACACACTTTTGATTTATGCTTAGAACACTTGTTTCAATTATTGACAAATGTTGTGTTTAACGGATGGTGTGATCTCATCAGACATCTTCAGTCACAATTATATTTTATCAGCTTACGACAGAACTAATTTGTCCTTATATACATTCTTCCTTCTTTAACTGTGTTCATTGTACATTCAGTCTCTCATCGATGGTCAGTAGAATACAGACAGACAGAAGATAATAAAATAAAAGAACAAAAAGTCTTTTATTATTGTTATTGTTATTATTACTGTTATCATATAAGACCAGTGCATTATTGACATATATAGATAGTCTAAAAAAGGAATATCTGCCGAAGAAAAAAGAAAGCGTCTCGAAGAAATGTTTCTAGAGTCGGTAAGGGGCAAGAAGTGATTGCAATACCACAAAATTGGTGCAACTGACCAGCTTAATACATATATACATTACTCCAATAAATTCAAATATGCATGTATTATTGATAGGGAGACTTTTTTCAGGCAAAAGATGTCGAGAAACTCGGGTCAAAAAAAGGGATTGGTATGTAGTGCAGCCCTTATATTGCCAATATTCATCAAGATCCTTTATATATATATATATATCCTTTTAGTGAGCCAATCAATCAAAGAAGTTCTTCAGAGTCTTGTTGATGACGGGCTTGTAATGACAGACAAGATTGGGGCTTCTAATTACTTTTGGTCGTTTCCTTCGACAGCAATACTAGCAGTGAGAACCCATATATTTTCCTTTACTGTTATTATAGTTAAATCAATTTATTTAAGGAATTAATTTATTTTGTGCATTGAATTAATATAGAAAAAGATAAGGATCGAGGAGCTCGAGGCAGCCATCAGAGAAGAAGGGAAGAAGAAGAGCTCAATGGAAAATACAATAAATCAGCTTTCTGTGGAGAATGAACCAACTGTAATACGGCATAAATCTAGTTGAATATCCAACTTAATTTAATCCAATTCAATTGACCAACAGTGTATATGTGTATTTTTATCATTATTTTTCACGCACACTTTTTCTCTATCTATCTTTCTATCTTTGCCTTTTTGTTTAGGATGAGAGAATAGAAATACTCAGGAATCTCGAGCAAGCAGAAAAAGAGCACAAGGAGCTGTTAAAGTCCCTTCAGCCCTACAAGGATAATGATCCGGCTTTAATGGAAGCAAAGAGTAAGTTTTGAATAAGTCTGTGATTTATATATCTATTGGTTTTTGATGGTTAAATATTCTACAATAGAGAACTCGGCCAAAAGATCCAAAGAAGCAGCCAATAGATGGACAGGTATTAAACAATTACAATTAGACTTTTCGAAATGATTTATAAATTAAATAATTAATTTATTATTATTTTTGTCCTGTAGATAATATTTGGACAATTAGATCTTATTGTATCAATACACTCGGCACTGATCCAAAGACATTTGATGAATCGTTTGGTATACATGAAGATTTTGATACCTTGCCTTGATGTCTTTAAACAATAAATAACCGTAAAATTCCTAAAACGTATACATATATTATGCCTGCTAAATAATCGTATATACAAAATCTATAGCTCTGTCATAGAGTGTGACCTCTTTAAGCTTAAAGAAAGACAGTTTTGGTGGGGGAGGGGAGAAAGAAAATTGAGTGTCTGGTAATATTTTATTATTTATTTATTTTCTTTTCTCTCTCTCTCTCTCTCTCTCTCTCTCTCCCTTTCCCCTATATATTTATAATATATATATAAGTATATTTGTATATTTGGTTAGAAACAAAGAAACAAAGAAAGACTATGCCACAATTTCATCCTGCTAGTAAAAGACCTTCGTTTGTCAATTTCCCTATTCCATTTGACCATCCTTATATACTCCCGACCCTTCTCTTGACCGTTTCGGCTTCATCCTTGGTCTATTATTATCTTCAGGCGACTCATGCAGCAGATCTCATTGAAGCAGTGAGACATCGCGATATCCGCAGACGACGCACGCTCAAACGACCCGAAGAAAGATATGCCAGTCTCAAGGCAAGTAAATATACTTAATACAATATATCATATTTTACAAGTCTTTGGTCTTACAGTTATATTAATGGTTACTTGAATAATATAAATATATATATTTTAGATTGACCGGTTGTTTGTAAATCCTTTCAAGGAATGGCAACCCGTGTCCTGGTGGGTAGCTGTTCTGTTTTGGTTTCCTCGGTGGAGAAGGAATGGTGTCCCCAAGTCAATCAAAGTAAATACATACAATAATAAGAAATGGTGTGCAATGGTAATAATTATCAAGGAATCTCTTACAGGCATTGGACGAGAGCTTGCCAATCCAGACTCCTTCCTTTGACATCATCTTTCCAACTACCGAGATGTCGGCTTCGTTGGAAAACCCAACCCCAGAAATTACCTTTACTTGGCTGGGGTAAAGAAAGAAAAACGAAAAACGAAAGCGTACAAGCTATACACATGTACACATATAAATATACATACATACATACATATATATATATATATATGAGTGTGTATGGTGTATTTATGTGCTGTGGAATATGTAAAGTAAGGTGTACAACCCATACACTTATAATGCCCACTGTTATTATTGTTATTATTTTTACTATTCTTTATTGTAGACATTCAAGCTGTTTGATGACAATCGGGGGTATTACTGTCCTTACTGATCCAGTATTCACTGACTGTCTTGGACCTCCTGGATTTGGGGGACCAAAACGTTTACGACCACCGCCATGTGGATTGAAGGACATACAAGACAAGATTGATATTGTACTGGTGTCTCACAATCACTTTGATCATCTGGGTAAGTCCTTGCGAGAGAGGAGCCGGACTGAACTCTCTCTGCAGACGAATCGGTGGTTCGGACCCTTGGAAATTCGGTGACATGGTACACACCCCTTGGTCTTCGGGATTGGTTTGTCAACCTGGGCGTAGATAATGTAAGCAAACATAGTGTAATTTGGACCAAGTCTATTTGGTGATCTGATATGATAGGATGGCTATTTAGGTAATCGAATTAGACTGGTGGCAGGAGATACATCACAAGGAAACACCTGACATTGTTATCGCATGCGTGCCGACCATGGTGAGAATGAAATAAAACATTACAACAAGATCACAACTAAATTTTCGAAACAATGTTTAGCATTGGAGTGGCATGAGGAAGCCGTTTGATGTGAATCAGACTCTCTGGTGCAGTTTTGTCGTGAGATCCTCCAAACATCGGCTCTTTTTCTGGTAAGATTAATAAAGCATTAAAGCTTATAATACTAACGATCCAATTATTACTAATATCATTACCTTTTCTATATATATGTGTGTGTGTGCTTGTAGTGGAGACGGCGGTTATGTCCCGGATCTATTCAAGGCAATCGGAGAGAAATACGGTCCTTTTGAACTGGCAGCCTTACCTATAGGAGGCCATGAAACCAATCGTCCTCAACAACACATGTCTGCAGAACAAGCTGTGCAAGTACACAAGGCAATTGGATGTCCCAGGGTGTCTGTAGGGATTCATTGGGGTACATTTATGTTATCAAACGAGCATTACCTGGCACCACAAAAATTTATTGAACAATGTGGAGAAAAAGGGTTTAAGACAACGGCCCTGGGAGAGACATTGTCCCTTTAGCTTATAGAAATAAACTCCTTGCATTAAATGCAGTAAAGCAACTGTGTGAATTTACGCCCTTGATTCTTCTTTTTTTTTTTTTTTGCTTTATTTTATATATTTATTCTTACTTTTATTTACTACAAGGAATGTACATACAACCCTACCTATCTACATAATTGTACACCTAAACAATTGACTAAATAGCTAATCGAAATGACTGCCTGAGAGTCTAAACTATCTTGGTCAAATTTGATTTGATTTGATTTAATTTATTTTTTTCTTTAACTTGGCGTATATTTGCATATACCTTTTTATTTTATTGCTATATTCAGCTGTCTTAGGGGTCCTGTCTAACCACCCGACTTCTTTACTTTTATACACATAACAACGCTTTGAAGGTTCCTTTAGAGCCATACTGTCCCGTATAATGGTTAATAATGAAAGGAGTGGCCAAGTCAAAGGTTTCTTTTATTTTCTTTTAATTTTATTTTATTTTTTTAAAAAAAAAATGTATGTCTGTAGAAGGGATAGGATGGACATTTGAACCCATGGTGGTGGATGACGTGAAAATATATCACGTGATTAGTACAATGGAAGGCAAGAGTGCCATTGACCCTGCCCTTGTTTGTTTATCGTGGCTTATTGTCTAGTCTGAAATCCCTCTCTTTTTGTCTCCCCACTCTTTGCACATCTGACCATGTCTCTCTCCCTCAAGAACCTCGTCCAGAGCTCCAAGTTCCTCACCGGAATTCTTGCCCCCGTCTCCAAGGTGTATGCTGGTGCTGCTGGCTATCAGAAAATCGGTAATTGACCGCTTGAATTAAACTCACCAGACAACTCAACGCGCTGCCATCTTGCTTATTCCTCCTCTTCTTATTACTATTATCCATCTATAACAAAACTCAACAATTACCGATGTACAACATATTTATACGATAAATTGCCATTTGTTTTGTTTTTAATTTTTCCCGGCCTGACTTCCAACCACCCAACCGACGAACCAACAAATTACAAACCACAAATTACAAATTACAAATTACAAACCACAACCACACCAATATCAATATCAATATCAATATCAATATCAATATCAATACCGATACCAAAATGCCTACAATACGAAATATATATATATATTAAATCATCAACAATAACAAATGCGGGGGTGAATACAACAATAGGTCTCCGTTATGATGACTTGATTGCCGAGGAAAGCGATCTTGTACAGGAGGCCCTCCGTCGTCTTGAGATTGCCGACCCCAAGGCTGCTTACGACCGCGCTTACCGTATCCGTGTTGCCCAGCAGCTGTCTCTCTCCCACGCTCTCCTCCCCAAGGATGAGTGGGTTACCAACCAGCAGGTATGAAATTTGACTAAATATATATAAATAGAAATACAAATAGAGAGAGAGAGAAAAAAAAGGAAAATATGTGCAGATTTTGAGAAAGGAAAGGACTGATGTAAGAGCATATACACTTGTTATTTCAGGACAAGAGATACCTCCAGCCTTTCATTGATGAGGTTGCCTCCGAGTACGCCGAACGTGAGGCCTTTGACAATGTCAAGGTGGCTGCTCGCAAGTAAAGAAAGAAATATATATGTATATATATATAAAAAAGGAAAAAGAGGGTAAAAAAGGGATATATTTATATACACTTTAAAATATTCATATAATTAAATAACTTCTTTGAATTTATACAAAAAAGAAAAAGGAAAATACATAAACTGTTCTTTACATAATCTCTTATTTCTGATAAAGAAGTTTGTGGTAAAAAAGAAAAGAAAAAGAAAAGAAATGAAAAATAAGGTGATCTTGTTAATTATGCACAAATGCATATATACATATATAATATAGAGATGTCTGTGTATGCTTTGTGTAAATGTAGAAATGTACAGATGTACAAATATGTGTGTACAAATTCGTACAATCGTTGTCCTTTAGGCTTTATTCAAAAGGGATGTCACATGTATCGGGCCAAACTTCCACGCAGAAAGCCACCTTTAACAGTTTTATTTTTATTTTTATTTTAGCATTTACATTTACATACCTCCCCTACTGACATTTAGCCCTAGGTTATTTTAATTTCACTCTTTTGGCGAGAGTTGAGTTTTCAACCCTTCTTCCTCTCTTTGTTCTTTCACTTTGTTCCGATGTCTTTGCTTGGCTTACCTTTTGAGTTACTCTTGTCTGTTCTCCGTCGACTTCCTGGCTCTTCATTGGCCCAGCTGTGTCTAACCAGCCGGGAGGCATACGAGACTTGCGTTCCACTGCTTTATGGTCATCTCCGGCTAAGCTACCGCCATCACGTCCGACAGTTGGCCATTGGGATGCAACATCGGCCACTCCTTCGAAAGACAATCGAGCTCTATACACAAAAGGTTACTCTGCGTCCCAAACAGAGTGGGAATCACTGGCTGGTGGCAGACTTTTGCCGTTTGTTCCCAGAATTGAAGCAAGTGAGAGAAGTTGTGTGCAGTCATTTTGGGTTTCTGTCTGTGGACCGAGTCAGAGAGCTGGCGGGGAGTTTACCCCAGTTGACCCATGTCACCCTCAACCACTGCCGGCTTGTTGCTACGCAGCATCGAGGTGAGATACGCGAGACCGAGTGGGGGTCTACCGACACTAGTGGTATCGACGATGAGCAAGAGCAGGAAGTAATTGCGCCGACTCCAAAGAGCGAAGAGATTTTTGAGAGGGTGTGCCATCTGAACGCCCAATGGACCGACTTTTCTGTTGGAGCAGCCACTCAATTGCTATCTTCCATGCCGTTGCTCGGCTGGATCGATCTCGGTGCAAATCACAATCGAATCCCCACCGCCAACGATGGAGTGGTGGCCAGTTTGTGGGAGCACTGCCCTCGCCTTAGACATATGTCAATATCGCTCCAGCAAGTGAGTGAGTCGACCCTGTGTGAGCTGATCAGTAAGTTTGGTGGCCAACTTGAGACGCTTGCTATTCGATGTGATGGACTTGAGACTCTTGGTGCATTGGCGACCTATTGCACACGCCTGGAACGTCTGGTGATTAGGGCAGCAAACACGCCATGGACGGTTGAGTTTACGACCACTCCACCTGATGAAGAGATTACAAACACTGTGGTGAGTATTCTTCAACACTGCCAGGGGCTTGTTCAACTAGAGATGGTGTCCTGGGTTATGCAAGATGTACCAGTGATCGTATGGCGTGCCATGGACACAGTAATCGAGAGACAAGGACCATGCCAACCGCTCTCCCTCAGCATTGCCCTGCAGCCACACAAAACGTGCCTAAAGCCAAAGCCATCTACGGAGGATCCTATTCAGGGGTACCCTCACGGAACTATTAGAAAAACCCTTAGACTAGAGCAAGAAGTTCTGCAGGAGATCCGCAAGGAGATACATAGTCTTGTCTTGACATCCTAAGTCTTCTTTATTATAATTTTTGTTATTATTGTTATTATTGTTTTCTTTTTTTTTCTTCTTCTTCTTCTTTTGTATCTTGTACATCTCACTAGATTGCCTATCTTTTTCTTCTTCTTTTCTTCTTTCTTTGCACGTCTACGCATAAAAGCATACACATACACATACACATACGCATACACATACGCATACACATACGCATACACATACACAAACACACACACACACACACACACACACATATATATATATATATACATATATTTGCAATAGCAATTACGCTCATTCACTCGTTCACAATCTCACAAAATTCATTAACAAAAACTCATAAATCATAAATCCAAATACACACCAACTCAAGCTTATTTTTTATAGATATATTGGTGTATATATGTACCTCATTCAAATATAAGCATATAAACATTCCATATATATATATATCTATATTAAATACATATTTTGGTCTTTTTCCTTCTTCTGCTTCTGCTTCTGCTTCTGCTTCTTTTTGGCCTTTCTTTTTGTAGCACAAGAAAATGAAATCAATACAACCCTCCCCTCCCCCTCTTCCCCTTGTTCAATAGATCAATCTCCTTTTGATTTTAATGATGGAGAAAATGACAATAAAAAGTAATATACAGGGCATTTTGTGCGTGATATCTTTTATGTACTCGATAAATTAATTCCCATTCTAAGCAAAGGGAATGGGCATGAATTGGAGATCAACAGTCACTCTTTACAACTTGCTTTGGTTCTTCAGTATTACCTAAATCTCTTTCTCTTTCTCTTCTTTATTTTTAATTTTAATATATATATATATATAGTATATATAGTATATAGTATATACATACTCTAATCATGGTAAGTCTCTTGATAAATGAATTAAATAATTAAAAATAATTATACAATTAATTAAAATGCAATTTTTATGGTATATGTGTATAAAACTAAACTAATGCACAGTATTGATGTTTTCATAGTCGGTGAGTCAAGCATAGAACGTATATAAAGATATTCTGTACATGGATATTTCAAAAAAAAATTTAATAATGATTCAAATCTTATAATCGTATTTCAGTATTTTTTGCCTCATTTAACAAATGGTAAATAAGTTGAAGCACACAGACTGTGATCCAATAAAACTCAAATGGGATTCTCTAGGATGGCAAGTAGATCAAGCAATCCTTTCAGAGGAGGATCGCGTAGTGATTATTCGCTTTGGTCACGATTGGGATCCTACATGTATGAAGATGGATGAGATTCTGTACAGCATTGCAGAGAAAGTCAAGAACTTTGCTGTTGTTTATCTGGTTGATATTACCGAGGTTCCAGATTTTAACAAGGTAATTATTAATGATAACAAAAAAGAAGGTTGGCAAGATATATTGACCTATTATATGAATTAAAGATGTATGAATTATATGATCCCTGCACAACCATGTTCTTCTTCCGTAACAAACACATCATGGTTGATCTGGGTACTGGTAACAATAACAAGATCAACTGGGCCCTTGATGACAAGCAAGAAATGATTGATTTGGTTGAGGTAATAAAAGAAGCAATTTTCGTTCATTAATTAATTCATTCTTTCTTTGATTAATTCATTAATTCATTCTTCACTTTGATTATCGCACAAAATTTCTCCAATAATAATAATACTCTTGTTCTCATCATCGTTTTCTTTATTTTTTTTTTAATTTCATTTGGTCTTGGACATTATATATTCTAGACTGTGTACCGTGGAGCACGAAAAGGTCGGGGTTTGGTGGTGTCTCTCAAGGATTACTCTACAAAATACAAGTATTAAAATCAACTTGCAAACAATATTGTACAATACACTGCACCACATCCGTTCTTTATTATCTCTCCTTTATATCAAACATATAAACGAGAGAAAAAGAAAGAACACCCAAACAAACAAACAAATAAATATTATATATTATATATTAAACAAATTGGTGGTACTGAAGGTGGTACTGGTACTAAAGGTGTTGGTGGTGTTGGTGACGTTTTTATGTATAAAAGAGACATGCAGATAAAAGGTATGAAAATAAAGAAATAAAGAAAGAAACAGAAGAGGGGGGAGGGTCTTGGTGGTTGAGGGAATATGGGATATGATATAGTATATAAAAATATAAAAAGATTTCATATTTCATATTTCATATCTTTCTTTCTTTTTTTTAACAGAAAAAAAAATATGGAATTAAAATAATAAAATTATGAGGGAATCAGCCGCAAAGAAGCCCCTCTCTCATCGTCTTTTTGACTCTTGGATTGGATTATGGATTGTTGCTTTTGGTAGTCAATTTTTCGTTGGCGTAAACGGTCAACCTTTTCTTGAACTTGTTCGGTGGTGAACTTTGTCTTGTTGAATTTCCACTCGTACCACGTCGCAATCTCGCCTGTCCGGTTGTCCAATCGCTTGTTCAAAAGCGTCCACACCACTTCATCGCGAATGGGCTGGTTATTGATCGTACTCTCGTCGACTGGTAGCTGAAGGGCCAGCCGGATCCACTCGTGGCCAAGGTACTTTTCTTTCAGTCTGCGGGTCATCACCTGGACTTTTACCATGGCCACAGCCCTTGCAAATGCAGTACAGGTACTGTTAGAGTCGTCAATGTCTATATTCTGGTTGCGAAAATTTTCGGTAGCCTTGAGGGCGGCGGTGGCGGCAGGGATAAGATCAGCCAAGGAGGTTGAAGGGCAACGGAGGGTGGGAAGAGTTGGTTGTTGTAACTGTAACTGTAGCTGCTGAGCATTTTTGTTGTTGCTGTTGTTGTTGTTGTTGTTGTTGTTGATGATATTATTATTATTATTATTATTATTATTATTATTATTATTCTGAGGTTCAGTCAATAGGGGGGTTTCTGTGGGGGTTAGTGGCAAGTCTACATTGAGAGAATCATTTTTGGTGCAGGCACTGGTTGGCTGTGGACTGTTTGGTGGAGTTGGTTGTGTGATGAGGGCCACTTGGGTGACCTCAACATCTACATTAGAGAGATGGGGTAAAGTACACTGTACAACACAGGTATTCATAACAAAAGTAAAAGTGAAAGAGATGAAATAAATAAATAAATATATATATATATATAGTTTAGAAATATAGTCTAAATGAATTATGCAACATCTAGTTTTTATATATAAAATAAAATATTTTTTTATTTTTTTATTATTATTATTATGTATTTATTTTACAGTACATTTTTATTTTATATATTTATTTATTTATTTTAGTTGTTGCTGTTATACACGTTATATAGATAGACAAGCTTCTTTTTTTTTTGTATATATTACATTACAGATTACATTATATTTAATGTATTTCTTTAACTAGATGGTAAAGAAGTCTAACCAAAATGCAAACATCATTGTACATGACGAGATAATAGGAGACAGAACATAAGGAAGAAGAATAAGAACTGTGTATTTTCTGTTTCAAAATAAATAAATATATATATATATATATATATATATATTATTTACTTATTGCTAACATGCCGGTAATTGACTTATTTGATAGATAGCATTTGCACAGCAAAGTATAAAATATATAATGATAATGATAATGATAGTAATTGTTAATATTATATATATATATATTGTAAAGGGTTCAATTTGATCTACTTTTTATATGTATATATGTAAATCAAGACTAACGGTTTAGTCGATTAAGAAGCTAAATACCAAAGGCTTTGAAACAGATTTAAAGAAGAAGAAGAAGAAGAAGAAGAAGAGGGTCAAAAAGCAAGAAAAAGTTTAGAACGTCTTTCTCTAGTTTGTGAAACAGGTTAAAGGGCCAAGTCATCTCCCCTCCACAAGCTCCGCCTTGATGGAGCCTTTCCAACAGGCCATTCTGTATTTTTATTTTTGACCCACCAAATGTCACCTGCTTAATCTATCCTACTCGGCCCATTTCCGACAACCCGACAATAATTACTGGCGAGACTTTGGATAAATGAATGTATCTTGACAGTAACTGATGAGTGTATATTATATAATCTGTAAATATAAATATATAATATTGGCCTGTAACTCCAAAAAGTAATAATCATAAAAATAATACAAAGGGGATATGGTATTCATTTGCAATGCTTTTATAGTTTATAGATTAAAATTATTATTTTATCTACATTTGACTCCCCCTCCTCCTTCCTTCCTTCCTTCCTTTTCCCTCATTAAACAGCTAAAACCAGAAAATAGCAATCTTTAGTTACTATCTTTAATACACTCAAAACAGAAAAAAAAAGAAGTTATATTTGCTCAAAAGACATGAGCTATCTAAGATAGATAGAGTCCTACTAGGCTACAAATTCAACCAAATGAAACAACCACCAAGCCAAATTGTATAGAGTAAATCCAAAAAAATAAAAATAAAAATAAAAATAAAAACAACAAAAAAACAACAGAGTATGGCTCCAATCTCCGGTTTCCGGCTCCCCTCACCCGCATTTCCTTTTTATTTTATCTCTCTCTCTTTCTCTCTCTCTCTCTCTCTCTTTGTGTTTTATATATATAAATATATAAATATATATATAAATATTTTTCATTTCTTTTCTTTTTCTTCTCTATTAAAGAACCTGTGTAGACTATAACTACAGCAACTACACCATTATAGCAACTACAACGACTACAACAGCAAATCAATTTTATTTTATTTTATTTTATTAGTTTTCTCTCTTTCCTTTTCTTTCCGTTTCTTTTAATATTCGCCCATGGCGTCTTCATCAAACTACCACCTGTCAGCAATAGCCGCCGTCACAAGCATTGCATTGGCAGCCTCAGGTTATGCCTTATCAACTTCCATCAGCGACTCCAAACGACGAAGAAGACGCATTGCAACCAAGATTATGAAAGGTGATGACCAGCTCTAAATCACAGTGCATCCCTATTAAACCAACCCTTTCCAGAGCGAGACGGGAAATACATCCAAGGTTTAATCAACACTGGAAATTCATGCTTTGTCAATGCCGTTTTACAGGTAAAGATATATATATATATATAAACAAACAATCCCCAAGTCGATCCTGATCTAAATTGCTTGTCTTTCTATTCTTAGGCACTCGCCACCCTGACTTGTCTCAGGTCCTACTTGGTAAGCAACCAAACCACATTCTCCTCAAACTCATCCCGATCACTACTTCCCAGGCAGAGCGTGTTGATGACCCAGCAGAGGAACCCGGAGATGCTCCCGTCACTAGGAATGAAGCTATTCTTAGATCCGTAGCTTATGCTCTCTACACAACTGTTGAAAGTAAGTACAGCCTGTCTATTCTGTTTAGAGTATCAGTCAGCATCCTACATTATTATTACATATAATAACCATAAAACTACTACTATTACTAATATTTCTGCTGCTGTTATTGCTGCTCTTTTATTTTATTTTACTTTACTTTACTTTTCTTATTATTATTATTATTAATAATAATTTGTAGTGCTAAACAGACCCCTGGCAAGGCCACGCTCAGCACTTCCGACCGATATAATCGAGGCTTTAGAAAGAAAGACCAAAGGCACTATTAACCGTGATCAACAGGTAGAGTAGCAAATTCCAGATATCTCACTATTTGAGTTTTTCTGTTTGTTTATTAATTTTTAAATACACAGGATGCCCACGAATTATTCCAGATAATAACTAGTGCACTGACAGCAGAGGAAGAGGACCAGTACAACCCCCGGGCAACATCTCTGTTTGATCCAACCGCACTTCGACAAATGACTCTCGAGACTGTAAGTCGTACTTACGATCCTAGCCAAAAACCGGAAATTTACAAAACATAGGAAAGCCGAAGATTGACTTTATTTATTTGATAGGAAGCCTTGACTAATAATGCCATGGAAAACTTTGAAACGTCTTCCATGTCTTCTATCGGTACAATGGGATCTATGTGGAGTTCATTTTCAGTATCAACTGTAGGAGGTCATCTTCACCCTCGCTCACGTCGTCCAAGAAACCCATTTACAGGTCTGGCTGCATCAAAGATCAGCTGTATGAAGTGCTCATACACCGTAAGTTTTGCTTGCTTTTTTTTTATATATCTATCTATCTATCTCTATTTGACTTGAACTTTATTTTTTATTTTAATTTTTTATTTTGTGATTTTCAGGCTCCTATTCGTCACCATACCTTTGATAACATTTCTCTAACAGTACCCCAGACAGTAAGCATTACTAATGATTTTTATATTTATATATAAGCCAGAAGAAAAACAAGAAATTAAAGTCAAAATTGAAACTGTGTGGTACCTGTAGTCGAGCTGCACACTCGAGAACTGTCTTGATACCTATACAAAAGTCGATACCTTGACCGACTTTCAATGCCGTAAATGTGTGTTGATTTCTACTGCTGAGGCACTCTCACGCGAGTTGGATCTCCAGCGGAGTCAAGTAGAAAACGGAACAGGCTCACCCGAGCGTATTAAGAGGCTTGAACTGGACATTCATAGACTAAAAGATGCCATTCATTTCAACGTAGAAGCCTCACTTGTAAGCCACCATTCTACTATCACTACTACTATCAACAATAGAATTAATCATCATCTTATCTTATCTTTACATTTCTGTGTGTCTTAGAAGGGAATTTCCTTGCAGCCACCTGCTGAAATGGCCAACACCACCAAGCAGACCATGTTTGCCAATCCTCCAAAGGCACTTTGCCTTCACCTCTCGCGCTCTGTCTACCACCCATCCGGGAATATTCAAAAGAACCACTGCAATGTCAAGTTCTCCGAATTCCTTAATCTTTCGCCTTACACCACCAACGGATTCCTCAACACCGGTGACCCATCTGCTGCCCTGAGCTCGCACAACGTTTCGGGCGGTTCATCGGCACGCCTCATGCCTTCCCCATCGCGCACTAGTCGTACCAGTCTTGTGTATTTGCGCAACATGGCGGGTGGTCAACGCTTTGTGCATGGCAGAGATGGTCTGAATGTAGCCCTCAAGTCCAAGGATGAAGACGACCAACGGATCATCCGGAACGCACTCCCTTCCATGACCCTACCCTCTCTGCGGGGTATTCAGTACCGTCTCAGCGCTGTGGTGGTCCACTACGGTGGCCATGACTCTGGTCACTTTATTACCTATCGCCGTAAGAAACTCCCTACAGGTCTCGATATCCGGTCACCTCTTGAAACCAACGATTCTCGTCCACCCACTAAATTCTGGAGATGTAGTGACCAAACAATCGAAGAAGTCGATATTAATGTTGTTTTAGAAAGTGAAGCCTACATGTTATTTTATGAACGCGATGTGTAAAAAGAAATGAAGAATGAAAAACACAGCAAAAAAGAAAAAGGAAAATCAAACTCTCCAAAACTCTCCAAAACTTTCCCCTTACTCTTACTTTCTCTCTCTCTCTCTCTCTCTCTCTCTCTCTCTCTCTGCCTTTTCTGTTTTCAGCCAAATCCCAGAATTTACACATCCGCAACTCAATACACACAATAAAGGATCGACGCGTTTTCCATCTTGCTTTCTGGAAATGCAATAATGAAAACCTCGCCTCGCCTCGCCTCGTCTCGCCTCACCTCACCTCACCTCACCTCACCTCACCTCACCTCACCTCACCTCACCTCAACTCAACTCATTTCAACTCATTTCACATATTTCTCTCGCTATATATAAAAATCTATATTTCATGCTTTTCTTTCTATATATAACTTTTAGAAGCCATAGCATAAAAAGATACGAAATAAATGTAGTAAAGATTTTAGGAAAAATTTAGACATCTACCAAACAAAGGAATCTTGAATATAAAATTTAAATAAAAATCATAAAGAAATTACCATATATATATACATGTGTGTGTGTGTATGTGTTGTATGAATTTTTCTTTTTTAGTTTTTTTGTTTGCCACCGAGATTACAAGCAACATTAGGCAACTAACCGAAAATAATAACATTGCACATATGTAAGCAACTAAAAGTAAGGAATAATGGAAGAGCTGTTAGTCTACGGGGCGCGGATATATAAGATGGTCAATACATCGTGACTGAAACGTGCTTTGTTGAGATCGAAAGACTAGCAAACACAGGACAATCAAACTAGGCTTTCTCTACTACAATAGAAGATTGTCATTGACCTGAAAGCTTTACATGTCACTGGATTTAGTCAAGTGTATCTTGACAGAAAATCCTCAAATATTTGTACGGGCGAGAATATGTTGATAAGCCCAGAATGCCAAACATCATTGACCGATATTATGTTAGCAAGGCATGTAATTTGAGCTTTTACCGAACAAACAGGACCCAACCTAGGGATAAATGTACCGGACAGAGATATGGTAGCTGTCTTGGTTATGCTAAGTTTTACTTGCGTTCGAGACCTGTTCAAACGTATCAAGAAGAGATGGTACAGAATACTAGGGGGATCACATTGAAATCCAAACAAGTATGGTGATGTCAAAATGGTGCGTAAAAGTGGTCAGATAATAATTCACTTGTTATAAACCATGACCTCTTTTAATATGTACTGACAATTTGGATATTTAAGTCATAAGTATTGGATATGCACCCTGTTGTTAACCTTCTATTTGATCCAGCAAAAAGTGCCACTGCAGGGTGTTTTTTTTTGCGAGTTGATAATGATACATATATAATTCAGCAAGAGAGCCCATTATATGCAATACTTTCTTTTTACTGCCATAAAACTGATTTGAAAGTACATCAATAAATCGGTATGTCAGAAGTTTGGTGAATAGTTTCGCATTGCAGTTGATAAAAGGATATTTGGCTGCCAGTTTTTGAGATTTAATTTATCCCCGGATTGTGGTAACGATACCAATACATTGGATTCTATAAATAAGAACTGTTGTGTAGCTTTATTACAAATTAAACTGTGTAAAAACACAAATCATATAGAAATAAAAAAACAATAACCAAAGTTGTACTCGTTACACACTTGATACAATACAGGCAAACATTAATCGTATCCCTACAATACTCTAAACTTTGATTCTTTGTGCGTCTATGGCCCTGTCAATGTTATATTTATATATGTGAATAATACACCTGTACCGTAGCATAATTCAATATACTAAAGGAAATCAAAACAGTAAGTCTGATACCAGATCAATTGACTGGATTTACATGTCCAAAAAGAAAAAAAAAAGAAATCGTGTTTTCATCATCATCATCTTGTTCTAGTTATTTCTGTCCTAAATTTGGTCAATTATTGTCACTTTCTCTTTTTCTCCTATTGGGGAATTATTGTACGGTTTGGTAACCTTGGAAATAAAATATTATTATTATTATTCTTATACTTTTTCTTTTCTCCACATGATTCACACTTGATAGGAAATCATAATAAAAAATAATAATCAATCATGAGATTATTGCGCTCCAAATGACGCAAAGATAGAATATTTGTATCGCCGACCATAACAATTTACAACAACAGATCAAATCCAACTCACAAATTATATTTTGCAAGCTATGAAGTATCAACTTTCGTAGTCCGCTAATGGTTTTTTAAAAAGAAAGAAAAAAAGATTTTTATATGTGTATGTAATATTTGATTTGATTTGATTTGATTTGATTTGATTTGATGCAGAATTTAAGGATGTTGAATGTGGGACAAAATGATGATGAGTAAAATGATAATTGAATAAAATAAATGAAATGAATGTTGCTTCTAAAATAAACTAAAAAGGAATTTATCTAACTAGATTGTAGTTGTTTGCAGGACCTTGGCATAGTTCTCAGAGTTACGCTTGAGAATATCCAAGATAGGACCAAGCAGTCTACTGAAGCCTCGTTTGCCAAGGGTGGCACATCGGAGCCGTCCTTGGGCAATTACCGTAGCAGCACGTGGGATATCATGCAATAGAGCAAGTTCTAAAAATGACGAGTTTGGAGTGTTAATGGTGGATAACACAAGATCAGACCACAATTAATCATTTACCTCCAAAATAGGCTCCCTTTGTCAGGCAATTGACCTCTTTCTGTATGCCGTCCACGTCGGTTTGGTAAACCAGTGCATCTCCTGACTCGATCAAATAGAAATTATCTCCGAAACCGTTCTGCTGGACTACTGTCTCGCCTTCTTCAAAGCACACATACTCTAGTGCATCGGCCACCTTGAACCTCTCACAAGCGTCCAGAGAAGCAAGAATAGGAACCTCGGCTAGGAATGATTCATACATCTGGCGTCTGTGTGAGGCATGTTCGACCACAATGCGGTGGAACGTGAGACGGTCCAAGGCCCAAAGTACTCCAGAGACAACAGACACAATGGTTGCTGCACGAGGGCTGTCGTACATCAGGGCTAGCTCACCGAAGCTTCCCCCGGGACCATAAGTTGTGACCTTTTGCTGATCCGAATTAATATAACAGTCTAGCTGGCCTGAACCGACAATGTAAAAATAATCTCCAATAGCACCCTGCTGGATCACAACCTCGTTGGGAAGCACTTGCTTTTCTGACATGGCGTTGATAATGTCTTGGTGCTGGTTTTCATCAAGATTGCGAAACAAAAAATTGTTTCTAATTGCAGCCTGGATTTGTTCTTTTTGGGCGTTGGTCTTGGGTATTATCTTTTGAATGTAATCCTTGTCTCCTCGGGCTAATGGTGTCATAGACTCCGCACTAACAGACGTTCGTCGGCCACGGTTAGAAATTGGTGCAGTAAATTCAATCATTTCGTTCTCAAATGTATCTTCGTCTTCAAAAACATCCTCTTCATCGCTACTGTAGGCTTCTAAAGGATCTTGCACTAGAGCAGGGGTGAGGCTCGGTGAAGATTCGGTTGGGTGTGAAGTAACTCTAATAGCAGGGAGTGCATGAGGGTGCTCAGCTAAATATACATTTGGTTTAATAAATTAATAAGTAAAAGGAGCTAAAATAATAACAAGACATACACACATACACACATATATATACATGTATATATGTATTTGTATGTAGATGTGTGGATGTGGCTGTTGGTATTTCTTACATGTCTCTGTGATATATCCTCTCCAAAATGATCGTTGGCTAGATAGTCTTGATTGGAAAAAATTGGTGCAAAACTGAAGGACATCGTCTGGTTTCTGGTAGTAAAAATCTTGTGTGAGTTCTTGAATTATATCTGCAAACTCTTGTTCGGTTGATGTATCTGATATGAATTCCATTTAAGAAAAATAGAAAAGAATTTAAAAAAAAATGTGAAAGAGAAAGAGGAGGCTGTAGAGATTAAGTGAAATATGGGTTGCATGAGATTATAAACACTATTCAAGGCTTGTATTACCTGCCACGTTGTGCGCTCTTTGGAAATTGCTTTGAGTAAAAATTTTTTTTTTGAGTTGCAACCATCCTCTCTTTTACTTCTTTTGTGCAGGCAATATGGAGGTAAGACCACCAGTCCCCATGTCACTCACGCCCCACATGTCCATATCGCGTACAGTGCAAGATAAACCTTCTGAAAATAGAAGTCTCACTCATCTAATCTCCTTTTATAATAGCAATTCATTGTAAATCTCGATGAGCTGTTGACTAAGTTGTCACAAGCCCAGGATTCGGAAACCATTCGCATTGTAAGGATCTTACTTTCGACTCAAAATAACCCTGTGCTCACCACCCTCTAATTAAACCTTAACATGACAGGCTACCTCTACTCTCAACACTCAGTTCTACGCAACCTCTGACTGCGTTCCAGCTCTTGTTGAAATCATTGCCCGTTCGCCTCTTATCCATGTTCGTCAGCTTGCCGCAGTAGAGCTTCGTAAGCGTATCTCAAAGTGGTGGCCCGAAATCCCTGACCAGACCAAGACTGGCCTTCGCACACAGTTGCTTCAGATCTCTCTCACCGAACAACAGTAAGTCGGTGGCTTTCTTTTCTTTCTATTTTTGTTTGTTCTTGTCTGTTTGTGTGTTTGTGTATAACTCACATCTGATTTTTCATCAAATAAGTGAGCTTGTACGCCATTCGACTGCTCGCGTCATCTCTTCTATCGCACGCATTGATGTGCCTGAAAACAAGTGGCCTGATCTGCTTAACTTCTTGAATGAGTCTTGTGCAAGCCCTAACGCTTCTCACCGCGAGGTCGGAATCTACTGCTTGTATACTCTCTTTGAAGTTATCTCAGATTACTTCCTCGATCACATGACACCTCTCTTTGATCTCTTCAAGAAGTCTATTGTTGATCCCGAAAGCAAGACTGTCAGAGTTACAACCGTTCTGTAAGTGTAAACCAAATCAGTCTAAATAAGAAATAACGAGTCCAGTATTAATAAAGGTTATTTCTGCTTCTTATTTTCTTGTGTTTTCCTTCATCTTATTTCTAGTGTACTTGGAAAGGTTGCAGATTTCATTGACACCGAAGATAAAGAATACATCGTATGTGATTTGGAAAATTCAAAAATCGCATGCTATCAAATATTAACATATGTCTACAGAAAATGTTCAAGGAAATGATCCCCGCCATGGTCAATGTCCTCGAAAAATGTCTTGAAGATAATGATGAGGAGAGTGCAAGTGAGATCTTTGAGGTCTTTGACATTCTGTTGATGTTGGTAAGTAAAAATGAGTATATATATATATATCTTAGGACAATAATAATAATAAAGTAAACACGTTTTGATGTATATCTCTTTTTTTAGGATGCTCCCCTTCTCTCCACTCATTTGGTCGACTTGATCCGTTTCTTCTTGACTGTTGGTGCTAACCGCGAATTGGAAGATTCCCTCCGTGTTCTTGCCCTCAATTTCCTTATGTGGGCTGCTGTATAGTAAGTTAGAAAAAGAAGAAGAAAGAAGATATATTTTTCTGTTTTTGACGTGTCACATAACATATAATCACCGTGTTTTTTTAACAGCAAGCAGAACAAGATTAGAAGCTTAAAGATGGTTGGATTCATTGTCGAGAGCCTGATGCCTATCTGTACCGAAGAGGATCCCGAAGATGTTGATGAGGACTCTCCTTCTCGTGTATGTGTTTATAGAATAATATAGAAATACCAAAAATTGTGGGTAGAGTACTTTTTTTCTTTCATTTACTCACCTACTTTGTATCTGTATTGTTCCATAAGGTTTCCTGCAAGGTTCTCAATGCTCTTGCCACAAACATGCCTCCCCAGCAAGTTTTCCCCATCATTATCCCTGTCATCCTTTCATACATGCAGAACCCCAACCCTGGCTTCAGAAAGGCTGCCATGGTGGCTTTTGCTGTTGTTATCGAAGGCTGTGCTGATTTCATGAGCCCTCAGTTCAATGAGCTCCTCCCTCTTGTCTGCACTGGTCTCCAGGATCCCGAGATCATTGTCCGCCGTGCTGCCTGCATGGCACTCGGTTGTCTCGCCGAGGAACTTCCAGCTGAGATTGCTGAGCAGCACCAGGTCCTCCTTCCCCTTGTATTCAATCTCATGAATGACACCAACCCCGAGGTCACCAAGCACGCGTGCAATGCTCTCGATGCCATTCTTGATGGCCTCGGTTCCGATGTCGTCCAGTACCTCCCCATGTTGATGGAGAAGCTTTTATTGTTGCTTGACAACGCTTCTCAGACCGAAACCAAGGCTACTGTGATTGCTGCCATCGGAAGCGCTGCTCACGCTGCCAGCGAGGCATTCCATCCTTACTTTGGAGAGGTCTTGCCCCGTATTTGCCATCTTATGTCTGCCAAGGAAGGAGGTGATGCCATGATTCTCCGTGGTGTTGCTACCGACACTGCTGCTGCAATTGCTGAAGCTGTTGGTCCCGAGATGTTCCGCCCTTACTCTCAAAACTTGATGAACCTCGCTATTGAACAACTCCAATTGGACTCTCCTCGTCTTCGTGAGTGCTCTTATGCATTTTTCTCTATCCTTGCTCGTGTCTATGGTGAGGAGTTTGCTCCTTATCTTCCCACTGTCATGCCCCACATCATCTCTTCTTGCCAGGCTGAGGAGAAGGAGGACAACATTCTTCAGGGTGAGATTGATCTTACAACTGGTGATGGAGATATGGATGATGAAGATGAATTGGAGAACTTCAACTACAACTCTGCTATTGCCGATGAAAAGGAGTTTGCTGCTGATGCACTTGGTGAACTTTTCGAGAACACTAAGACTCACTTCCTGCCTTACGTTGAGACTGCTATGGAAGAGCTTACCAAGCTCTCTTTCCATATGTTCGAGGGTGTCCGCAAGGCTGTTGTTGGAAGTCTGTTCTCGTTCCTTAGAACCTTCTATGTTATCTCAACTCCCGGAGAATGGGCTGCTGGTCTTCCCTTGTCTTACACTGTCCATGAGAATGTTCAGCATATGATCTCTACTGTTATTCCTACCGTATTATTGATGTGGAAGGATGAGCAGGATAAGATGGTTGCTGTCCAAATTTGCCAAGAGTTTGTTCAGGCTCTTAAGCTTATGGGTCCTTGTGTTGTTGCTGAGAGTAAGTAATCTTTTTTCTTTTAAAAAAAAGAAAGCACCTGACATCTTACTTGATTTTTTTCTTAGCTCTTGAGAACACTACTCGCAACGTGCTCGATATCTTTGAGAAGAGATCTCTTTGCCAGCAAAGCTTTGACGATGAGGACTTTATTGATGAGGATGAGGAAGCTCAGTCCGAATCTCTTCTTATCGGTGCTGCTGCTGACCTGGTTGCCAGCTTGTGTGAGACTATTGGCGAAGGCTTTTCTTCATACTTTGATGTGTTCCTGCCTCTTATTGCAAAGTACTACGTAAGTAAATCTTCTTCAAAATTAATTCACATTCAAAATCAATACTCACTATTTTTTTTTGGTCTACAGAAAAAGACAAAGGCTTCTACTGAACGCTCCATGGCTGTTGGATGTCTGGGCGAGTGCATCACTGGTGTTAAGCGTGCCGTGACTCCCCATACTGAACGCCTGTTGCAAATGTTCATCAAGGCATGTGCCGATGAAGACCAGACCGTCAGAAGCAATGCAGCATTTGCATTGGGTGTTCTTACCATCAACACTCAGCTTGATCTTAGCTCGTAAGTACCGGTAATCTGTGTGGAACGTACAATACCAATGCTATTTTTATTATTATTGTTATTCATCTTTTAACTCTCGCTAATTTTGTTTCTGGTTTTTGAAATCACCAGGCAATACCCTGCTATTTTGACTGCTCTTCACCCCTTGTTCCAGAACCAGTCTCTTCCAAACACAACTGATAATGCAACTGGTGCCGTTGCACGTCTTATCTTAGCACATCCTGATGCTCTGCCTCTTGATCAGGTTTTGCCTGTATTCTTGGGCGCTCTTCCCTTAAAGGCAGATTTTGCTGAGAACGAACCTGTATTTGAGTGTCTCTTCTCCCTTTTCCGTGCCAACAACCCCTTTGTAAGTCTCGTATATAAAATACTAGTGAGTACCTCCATATCCTAACAAGTTTTGTTATTGTTCGGTTTATCCTTAGATCTTTGCTCATCTTGCTCAGATTTTGCCTTTGTTTGCACATGTATTGGCTGATGAGGACCAATTGACCGAGGCAACTCGTGCTCAACTTATCGAGCTTGTACGTGCACTAAACGCTCAAAAGCCTGAGCTGAACTTGGCTTCAAGTGAATTGGGACGTTTCTTGTAAACGATCATTAACAGAAATAATGCCTATCCTCTTTTTTATCTATTTTCTTTTGTGCGAATCCCACAAAACTAAGTAACTACTTCTTCTTTTCCTTTTGTAGACCATGTTCCCTTTCTTTTTTTTCTTACTTAAAAATATAATGCCCCAGCTTATCATACAGAGTCTCTCCTCTATATTTATATGTGTGCATATATGAATATTCATATTGTCGGAAAGGCCTGTTATTTATTATTATTACCTATAATATATGTGGATTCAACTAAGATTTTTATCAATTTAATATGTATTTTAAGATTATTTAGTGTTATATTTAAACTTTAACATATATTTGTGGGCCAGTATCGACGCATTTGTGGCAAAGACTACTGGCTAATAGTAAAACAATGATGGCTGTATTTAAGATGAGGATTCTAAGCTTGCCAATAGACCTTTTATATATATATGCGTGCGTATTGCATAATTGGACAAACTTACAGGCAGTCTGACAAGACAGACTGCAAGTTAGCGTGACACCATTCTTACCTATATTTCTATGTTCTGCACATTTTTTTTGGCAGCTAATATAAGTAATATCATTATTAGCAACGACAGAATCAATGACTTTGCTATTGTCGGCGAGACTTCTTCGAAGGAGTCTTATTTTGCCTTGCCCGAGTTCAATTAGATTTTTAGTATTTAAGGAAAATTCTCTTCAGCCGTAGCTGTTAGTAAAACTGCAAATGCATACGGCGCTATGTGCAGTGAGAGGGAAAAAGCAATACCTTTTTTTTGAAATGCCGAAAATAGCAAACGCAATATTCTCGCTTTTTCTCTTAAATTAACCTTCTATAAAATGAAGAATCAAACCGAATGCACAAAAAAAATTGCAAAGGTCCCCACCAATGGACATAAAAACACGGACAACACAACTCGTGCAATCATTGTCCATGAGAGTGTTAAGAATGGCACTAGTCAGGTTGACATTGCCAAAAAAGTAGGTGTAAGCAAAGACGTGGTGAAACGTGTTCTTCAGAGCTATAAGAAAACGGGCACACATATGGCTGCACCACGTTCTGGCAGACCTTTGAAGTTGAATGAAAGAGACAAGAGAGGAATTATGCTTCAGATCAGTCGGGATCCAACACAGCCAATGAATAAGATTGCCAAAGCCTTGCCCACGCCTGTTTCTGACAAGACTTTGAGAAAGTTTCTTCGTAATGTTGGAGTATACTCTCCAAAGATGATTCAGAAACCAAAGATTTCAGAAATCAATTCTAAAGGGATTGCAATGGATCAAGGAACATCAATAGAAAACCAATGATTGAAACGTCGCCATCTAGTCTGATGAGTCCAAGATTAAGCTCGAGGAAAGCGATTGATTCGGGTACGTTCTCAGACCAAACGGCAACAGCTTTAAGCCTAACTTCGCTCCACCAACCGTGAAGTTTAAAAGGGACTCTATTATTGTCCGAAGGTGCTTTTATGGAAAGACTACCGGAGTTTTAGATGGCATGTTCGGAAATGTCGATTCCAAGAAGTATATTATAACCATGGAAAGAGTCTACCTCCCTTATTTAAAACCATTTAAAGAAAAATACAGCTGGAAATTTTTTTTCTTCAAGAGTATAGCGTTAGCTATTATGCGAGTGCAATAACAAAAGAATAAAAGAAGAAGAAAGAAGATAAAACCTTTGAACAACTGGCCACCTCAAAATCCAGATTTTTGAATCTAATCGAGCACCTCTGGGTATATTTCAAGTATAGAGTACATATGAATAGACCAAGCTTTAAAATAAGGGTTCTTCTATAACATAATAAAAATAATTAATTTTATCTTTAATTTGAGGTATTTTGAGATCTGTAAGTGGTATCTTTGCTTCTTTTCTTCAAGCATGAAAAATATATGTATTTTAGAGAACAAGCAGGGTATTAGAAAAAATGACTCGTTCTCCCTCTCATTGTGTAATATTATCTTTCCCACTTCTTCTTTAAGCTCTTGCTTAAAAACATTTTGTAAGTAATTTCGCGAATATATAATGAGAAATATATATAAAAAATGATGCCTTAAAAGTCTCTGAACAAAGAAAAACTTGGCCTCCTTTCAGAGACATTGTGATAAAAATACACCAAAACATGACTACCTATGTTTTGTATATGTCTCCAAGAAAAAGAACCGAAAGCTTACTCTGTAATTCCGTGAGATACAGCATAAAAATTCAATTGAGAATGATGACATAGATTATGATATGCGTTACAGGCTCTTTCCAGAAGCTATGACTCTTATTACTAAGTATTTTGAAGATAATTATAGCTATGCAATCTTCAACAATTTCCAACAAAAAAGTGGGCTTAACTATATTATGTATCAAGATGTTGAAAATATTAAGTAGTATATTGAAAAATTAGATGAGATAGAAGAGACATTTGATTATATTAGAGTTTTGCAAGAATTTGGTTTGTATGGTGTGTTCGAGCATAAACATCAAAGTTTTGCAATCTTTTCAATTTTACCCCAAGAAAACTCCGATAGTAAAATATACACTGTAGGAAATGGCAGGATTTATACCTCCGACCTCGTACCGAGTTACGAACTCGTAACTTTTATAGCCAATAGCATGCCTGTTTTAGCCTATTAGTTTTACTTTTTGTCAAATACGATTTATGGGATTTTCTATTATTTTGCATCTAAGCCAATAAAATATTCTAAATATGGCAGATCTATACCTTTTTAGGTATTTGTATTCTCTTTATGATTGGTTCAACAAATGCATGATGTTTTATATTGATTTTTTTTTGGTTTTTATTGATCAAAATAATACAAGTTAAACATAAAGAAGTATGCGAAGAAGAAGTACTAATTTTTATGATATTTAGTAACAGCTTAAGCTATACATTCATTAAATAATATACATATATCTATTTTTATGTGATACTTTTTACATTGTTTTATCTAAAAAAAAAGCTATTTTCTAAGTACTATGATATTGATGAAGGCATGTATATTTCTTAATTGATTCTTTTAATCAAAGAGTATAAACCTGCTTTGTGTTAACATTGTTATGCCTGATACCTACTTTTGAAAAAAACAGGAGAAAGATTCCATGCGATTCTCGAACTCTACCAAGATCTCTAATGAGCATGCGAGCAATCTTGACAACTAAATTATACTTGATGCAGATATTTTTCTGTCAATTCTTCTCAAGTTACTTTCTTTTGTCAACTTTGCTGATTCGTATTTTATAAATACTAGCTTTCATAGTTATTAAGTGTGTTCCTTTTAGAGACTTTTAATAATTTTAGACCTTGTGAAAAAAAAAGAAATAAAGAGAAATAAGAAAAAGACTTTACAGAATAAAAAAAAATCCATTAAAAAGCAATCGCGGTTATTCCTTTTTAGTAGCAAAGACTTCTTAAAGTTCAGATTAAAAATATATACTTGGTAGAATTAACAATTTTCGGAAAGTAATTCATGTTTTTTTGGTGTATAATTACTATATTTAGATAAAACTTTTCTTTATCACATAATTTTGAATTATACCGAGACCGCTGAAGAGCACCTTTAATAATAATAATAGGCACCTTAAAAACTGGCACATACTTTTATACCAACAAATCCAGATTAATACCCTATATCGTAGTGTTTTCTGACCAGTGCAACATTGCCTGATCCATATACCCTTTGTCATCAAGCAGCAAGGCCCCCTTAGATGCTGCTCCACTTGATCAATGGAGAGACTAATCGGTGTCTACTCAAAGCTAATCAAGCCCAAATCAAAGGGTGGCCGAAATGTCAGTTTTCTTGTTGAGCACTTTGCTATTCACAATTATACCAACACGCCAATCAGTGTTCACGACGAAATAAACATTATTCAACCAAAACCGTATGGTAGAGAAAGTTATATGTATTTTTCTAATGATCCTAGTGGTGCCCAGTTGTAAGAACCGTTTCATCGGTTTGTTCATTTGAACAATGATTTGGTGGAATGTGTAAGTGTCTCTAGTGTAAAAGATGTCTTAACTAGATACTATCGACAAACTTCAGGCATGGCCAATTTTGACTTGGTGATTCTAATGTTGTTGTTGCTGCTTGTGTGTGGGTGGTCTCAACAATATATTCCTTATGTATTTACCGAAGAAAGAAAAATGAGATCAGCCGTGGCAATCATTATGTGATGTTTACTTGCCCTTATAGAAAGTAAGTATAATATTTTTCAATATACAATCAAAATTTGCTTATATCTTTATTATTTATTTACTTTAGCAACTGTAATGCAATCTTCCACAGCTGGCTCATCGGTATAGTACAATTCTTCTTCCATCATAAGGATTCTCACGGCTCCTTGCATTTTCTTGCGTTAGTGGAGGTCATAAAGGAACATGATGCGGCTGGACAAGACTCATCAGTTCCTATTGTCAGACAGCGGCCACAAAGTAGCCGCACACCAGGCCGTCAAACGAACCAACTTATACAGTCCTAACCATAAACGATATTCATAATCAAGTTGGTCTAGTCCAATACCCGCCAAATGGAAACAAATTCTATGTAATTGTGCCCTATTATATCTTTAACAATAACATGCACATTACCAAAAGCAATTTTTCTATTTATAACCATTTTTTCATTTTACTTCAATATACCCCATATACCCCATATACTCCTTATTTCCTATATTATCTGCATCATATATATACCTTACGCGACTTTTAAATAAAATCAAGTTGCTAATTCATCAAGATAAAAAGATTATTTATCTAAAAAAAAACGTCTCGGTCATTCCATAAATAATTAATCTTAATAAATGTAAACATCTTTAATATTTAATAAACATACAATTCAATAGTTAAAGTGGTCATTATAACTTGCAAATATTTTCTCGGGTATCAGACCTATCATACAGCAACAACAAAATTAATTTCATGTCAGTTTTTTTTTGTTATTGATGTCATTACCATCTTACCACAACAAACGACGGATTTTATTGGCTTTTGACCAGAAAAAATAGCAATAATGTGCCTACTTTCGGTGCAATTGCCAGTCTTTATCCAGTCATGAATTAGTTTAGAATTTTGAACTATCCAAGTCTGATGATGAAGCAGAAATAATTCCATTTGCAGCGGTCGAAAGGCAGCACTGTAGTAGTACAGCACCACACAATCAACGGCAAGGGGTGTCATGGCAAGGATAGCCATCAAGCTCCTGGAATTATTACGGACGACCAGGTTCATAGCCTTCAGTAAATCCTTCAGCTATGGACGTGGAAGGGTGTCACGTTGCAGCTAAAAAGATAGCCACGCCATCAAGTCCGTTTTTTGGCGATGCCAATACTTTGTGTAGTTATTCTGTTTGTTACAGACATTCAATGCATATATTCATCATAATATAAAATATGTTATTAGTCATTGACCTCTATTTTTTCTTCTTATAACATACTTGATCCTACTGCTGTACTGACATTTACATAGTTTTGAGACATTTGGAAAAATAGAAGAAGAAAAATGTTAGGACAAACTTACGGACAGCCTAGCAAGATAACCTGGACAGCTTAAATATGCGTTATGTCACCCAGTAACGTGTTCAATAAAATGCCATTTTGGCGTGACAGCCTGGACAGCCTATAAATATGTGACGATACTTACGTCACCTGTTTTAGGCAAATGCTCATTTTTTTGGGAGGACTAGATAAATTAGCGACCTTTGCGCATTGGGGGTTTTCAAATATTTTTCCAAATGCCCGGTACTACTGACACGGGTGTTGTGTGTTCTCCAGCTTCGCCCACCCTGATTTATTTCCTTCTTCTCCGATCGTTTCTCTCCCTATTCTTCTCGTTCATCACTTCTACATATTCACTGTAGAAAAAAATCTACGAGTATTTGAAACAAGCTGCCTTATTTTGGAAAGAAATGGCAGATTTGTGAACACCATCTAGCATTTACCAAGTTTAGAATATCTCTATCCTATTTTGGCTCTAGGGAAATATTTTGAAGATGAAAGTCTCGTCGTCAACCCAGGAAACCATCTTGATTGCCGAATAAAGAGAACTACTTGCTTGATTAAAGAAAAATCAACTAGAGGGTCAAACAAACCCTATGGACTCTGTAACTTGGATCTGAGCTTATGCCAGAAACAGTCATACCTACTAATATTTCTTTTTAAGGTCTTCGCCAGCATACTCTGTGTATTACGTGAAAGCGCTAGGGTTGGTTTAATAGATAGCTTTCTATCTGGATTTAAATACTGTATACCAAAAGTAGCAAAATTCTTATATCTGTGTTTAAATTATTCATCGACTTAGAATAGGGAGACGATGGTTGTGATGAGAGAGAAAAAAACAACCATAATGACCTTGTTAACCTACATTTTTACGAATAATTGGCAAATAAAATATCTATATTAATATTTTCTATATATATTATGCTTTGTTTTCAATGTTTTACTTCTATAAAAGAATATTTATGTTATATTTACTTGTATTTGAGCTTATTTTATTAAAACAAGCATATCCAAAGAACAACCTAATATGTTTACCACTTCAATAATGCGCTTAAGAAAACATATACGTAAGATTCGCCATAAATAAAAGTTTGCAGAGGTATGGAGAACATTTTAAATTATATAGCCAAATAACAGACACAGTTTAACACACGAGTTTACCCTTTTGATAATTGTATCCCAATCCTTTAGGACAGATACTCTGGACAAACAGTTGTGTAGAGGTCCGGGTACTCTTGTATTAGAGCAAGCTTATTTTTGGTAGTTTACTTTTTATATTCTTTCTTTGGCTTTAATGTTATACCATGCAACCTTCTCGCAGTTGACTACTTGTCTTTTTCATATGGAGAAGTGTAACTTTTGAAGATTAACTTCCTTTTACTAATTATGAGAGTGTTTTTGAGAGTGATGAAGATCATACTAGCTTATATATAAGAGTAAAATAGGTGAAATGGAAGAAATTTAGCAAGAATGGGAAAGACAAATGCTCTTATTTACACTACACTCTTTGATGTGTTATGCTAATAATTGATATCATGTCAAATATAATGAGTTTTGCAAAGAACTAACTTATATTTATGGTTGCCGTTGTAGTACATATTAGCCAAGGGCCTCCTTCTATATTTTATGCTATGAAATTTGAAAAATTTAAGGTGAATATGTCTTCAAGAATCCAGAGGATAAGGTTCAGCTTTAAAGGCTTAGATAGCCGTTAAATCTTCAGCGGATAGCTTTAAAGGGAAGTGAAACATTAGAGGTACAATGTTTTCACAAATTTGGGAATTCACTTAGCCTACGCCTACGCCGATGGTTTAACGGATTAGATAGCAAACTGGCTATTCAAGTTGTGCTTATTTTATAAGAGAACATTTAAACCTTTTGACTATTCAAATACCCTTTCTTTATTGGTCTGTAAAACCTGTAATACACTGTGAAAGCGAGGTGTTAATGCTACAAGAAATAAGATGACAATTGCTTTGTCGACTTGGAGAGGAACCTATTGACCAACCACTCTCCAAAGATGTGATAAAGGCAAGCAAGCATACAAGCAGCAATTACCACAACAATCCAATCATTGTACCTAAATTAGTTTTTCTCTTTGAGACATTTAGACTTACAGGCAAAATACCTGAATAAGTGTCTACTTTATCTGAAAACTTACTTCTCTTTCTAAATTTAATTTCAATTCATTTAAAACACTTCTAAATTTGTCTCAATATCAAGTAGAAACACTGTCAAGTTCAAAGTCTATATAAAATAAAAGTAATTGAGTTTACCTTTTTAATTAATTTAACTTTTATACCTATTTTTTTTTAACTATCGAAAGTTGTGCAGATATAAGAAGCTGTTTTATTCTTAGTGCTCCAAATTCTTGTGCACTTTGATCTTAAGATAGCCAGATCAGAGCTGCAGAATAATTGATATGAAATAAAGAAGAAGAAAGATGTAAAGAAGTAAAGCCAGCGAGAAGTAAGAGAGCACAAAAGACAATAAAAAACACTCAACTTGGGAACAACGGTTATGAAAAAGATTAAACTAGAATAGATAATACGGCTGATAAGAATACATAGAAAAACCAATTCATATATAAAGTGTATAAAATTTTTTGAGAATAAGTAACTGTAGCTATTAAAAGTATAAGAATTAGGAATAGATTTCAGCAGGAAAAGAAACCCTAAAGAAATATTCGCTTTAGAAACTCGGGTAATCTTTATATATATATGAAATGCAGCAATATAAGACATAATCATCCATAATTGACACAGCTTCAGAGAGATGTGTATTTCTTGGGTTGATAGTGGGACGACGAATATTTCGGATATAATGAAAATGAAAAAAATTAGTAAAAACTTGTTGCCTGGGTGGCTCTATTGTTTCGGGAGCACTCATTTGCTTTTTGGGATGGAATTTTGCTACAAGGTCAAGAAGGACTTGACCAATAATTTATTCTTCCGGGATTTTGTAGGATGAGAGCAACGGTAGCGTGGTATATCAGACTTGTGCCGACAAAAATTTGGAAATTTTAACTGGTTGTAGATTCTTCTTAGTCAATAGTTCGCTCATTTTAATTGCTGCTGTCTGTATTTACAAAGACCATTAAAAAATATTATACTGGACTTTTGTATATGTTTGGTATTAATTGTCCCGTAAATAGATTGATATGCGTGAAGTATAGGGCTTTAACAGAGGACGATTTTTTGGCGCTTTAAGATCAAGTGCCTTTTTATTATTTTGAGATACCGCCGATCTCTTATTTTATTGTTTAATTTTATTTTAAAGATTGATGATGAAAAAGATCTTCCTTGAGTTGTCTTTATTTTATCCAGCCTATAAACTCCTACCTGTCCTTTTGTTTTGAGGTCTATATATACAGTATTTTGAATAGCCATTATATAAATATATTTTCTGTACAGAAGAGTATAAACATGGATTTGGTGTTTGTGATATAGTCCGATCGAAGATTTGGTGATCAATATATGCTTAATTCACACACAAATATGCTGTACCTGTGTATGTTGTGCATGTGTATAGTGCGTGTGTATGTGTGGTGTGTGTAAGGTAGAATTGTATTACTACTACAACAACTACTACTACTTCTACTACTAATAGTATTTGTTAATGAATACAAGATTTTGTAATCTGTTGCAATTTGTGAACACATACACAACTCAGCCAACCAAGGGGCAGAGATTCAAGCACACAATGACCTCACAAATTACGTCTGAGCCAAAGACCAATAGAAATTAGTATCTTCATCTACCATTCATTTCTCTCTCCATCTATATAATTATTCTGTCTAGTGTTTTCTGGCTATATATTTATTTATCGATTCATTTGATATTAAAGATCAATACACAATGGGGGTGTTTCAATTGTTAACAATAAATTATTATTATCATTATTTTTATTATCATTTTGTCTTGTTTCATATTTTCTTGCTTAAAGTATATTTGTGATGTAAAGATACACACAATTAGATATTATGTTTCTATTTACATGGTGTATTTACATGAGCCATAATTACCTTTTATACAAGCATATATATATATATATATCAAAGGTATATCAAATGTGTATCAGAAAATAAAATAATATAAAATAAAATAAAATCACACGAGATAATCAACTCTATACTTTGTTCATCAATCGATTCAATCAAATGCACTGAATATGTTATTCATTTTGCACATGAATGTGGTAACTTGGGGGACGGTGGGAATCATACGCTGGTAGTTGGTGTTCAGGAGAATATTCGATGGGTCGCATAAACTTTGGCTTAGTCAAAAGGGTGGTATCGTGAACAACTCTGGATTCTGTAAAGACCATCATGTCAGACGGAGTACGACCACCTGCAGGAAGTGTTCCCAGTGTGATTGGTATAACACACAAAAGTCGTTTTGTGGTCATAAACGGTCCATGGCGAACTTTGATAGAAACACTTATTTGGTAGGATAAACTGAGGTGGTGGGAATAGTTGAGGGTCGCTGTTGTCTTGAGGTTTGTGTTGTCGGAGATGAGGGGTACATTGAATTGGAGGAGGTATAGATTGTCTTTGTCTGCCAATCGACGCTCAACTCGACTGATCAACACAGCCTCGTTGCGGTAGAATGGTCCTCGCGATATTTTCATGAAGCGTTTGAGGGCAAGTTCGACGTGAGTGATGGCGGGCGTAAGTTTGGTAGGATCTGTTTGGCCACAAAAGCTTATCTCGATTGGGATCTTTTCTATTTCAAGTATATTAAAGGATGTGTTTACAAGAGACACACGAGCCGTCAGAGAGTGAGAAAGTTTTATTTCCTGGTTGTAGGGCTTGGGGACCTTTAGTGGACATGTTTCGAGTATGGGGTGGTATTGAAGGTTGAGAGGGGCAGTTTGGAACGGTCTCTCGCCGGGGCGCTCGATGGACCCAATGAGGCTAAATGTACAGGCGACCAAATGATGGCTAAAGGAAGGCGGGTAATTGACAAGAGGAAGCTCACACACAAATGGGAAAGAGTGTTGGCCTGCTTCCATAACTGTCCAAAGGGAGGACATTGGGCCCGTGACCTCTGGGGATGTTCCCCAAAGTAAAGTTCGTACACCAAATAATCGGCCTTCGGGTTTACTAGAGTCCCAGCCAAGAGTGTCGTAATTCAATTTCTCTAAAGAAGTAGACGATATAGAGATAAAATATAAGTATAAAATATACATTATATATTTTACACAACCAAAAAAAAAGCATGTGTTGGTAAACAAAAAATGTATTGATTACAAAACTCTAGAGTATTATTATTATTATTTAGCATAATGAAAATTGAGCTATATGTATGTATTACTCGACCTGCTGCCTTGAAAACAAGCTTCAAATGTTGGGCAGCCAATGGTTCTTTGAGTGTAACGCTCACAACACCTTCAAGAACTGCTCCCGGGTAGCACACAGCTTGTTGATTTCGATAATGGTGAGGAGATAATTTGATAGTAAATGAGATGGGAGGACGGATAAACTCTCGGGATCCCCTGGAGACATATCGTGGAGATGGTGTTGGTTCTGCAACAAGCACTTGTTGTGGCTGTTGAACAGCTGGAAGTGATACTGTTGACATGATTGATTTTTGAAAGCTATCAGTAGAATATTTTATTTTCTTCTTGTAGCTCACAAGAGAACAAGTGAATTATCAAGGAAGAGGTAGTTCAATGAATGTTATACTGATTAATTATTTAATTAAAGAAAGAAAGAAGTGTATATATATATATATAATTTAAGAAGGAGAGAAGAAGAAGAGAAGAAGAAGAGAAGAAGAAGAGAGGAAGAAGAGAGGAAGAAAGGTATACAGGATGTGTAAACTATTTATGAGTAATAATAATACTACTACTACTACTACTACTACTACTACTAATAATAATAATAATAATAATAATTTTTGGTTCAAATATATACAAATATAAATATACAGCTGTGGTAATTTTATTTTATATTAATGGATAATTCTTTTTCTTTCATCTTTTTTAGAGAGCAGAAATTTGAGTTTCTTTTTAGAGGCAAAGATTCCCTAAATTGAACTACTCCAGACGAAAGCAAATAAAAAGGCAGAGCTTTTCTGAGTCACACCAATAAGTATAAATGATCTTGGTATCACAGCCTTGCTTATCATAGACATTATTAATATTGTTATTATTATTTTTATACACACACACACACATATATATATATATATATATATCTATGTGTGAGTAGTCTAATTATCTAGTACAGTAGATCCGTTGTAAGATGGTAATGCCTTGAAGGGATGAGGAACCAGGGCACCTGCTATATCTCCCCACCATTCATCTGTACACTGACGATACCATTCGACTAATAAAATCAAGTATAAAAGAAATAAATAAAAATTACAGTTCAATTCAATTCAATTCAATTCAATTCAATTCAATTCAATTCAATTCAATTTAATTGATTTGGTTATTTTTTAATGCAAAAATAAATATACGAATAAATAAAAATAAAATACTTACTCGTCTTTCGGAGACCGTCATCGAACCCCATTCGGGGAGCCCAGCCCAGCTTTTCTAATTTGGAGCAATCTACCGCATATCGCTTGTCATTAAAGGCCCTGTCCTGGACAAATTCAAGGTGATCGTTCACTTGCTGCTCTTGTGTGTAGCCAAACATTCCAATAAGCCGTTTGGCCAACATAAGGTTCGAAATCTCGAAGGCTGAGCCGATATTGTAGGTTTCTCCCACAGATCCTTTGTGGAATATGACATCAAGTGCGTCGGCAACATCGGCTGCATACAAATATTTCCGGGAATTGTGTCCCTGACCGTGGATATAACTAGACAACGAAAAGAAAGCAACAACAACAAAAACGATTAGTAAATATTGCTATTGCTATTGTTAAAAGCAAGAATCCAAATATGCTTTCCATTCCAGAAAAGATTATTTTCTGTAGTGCTGTAGATAGCTTGTAGAATAACAAATAGATAATAAAAAAGACTTGCCATTTGCCGCGTCTGAGTAGACTACAGACAAACTTGGATGTGATCTTCTCTGGGTATTGGTACGGGCCATAGACATTGTTTGAACGTGTGATCATAATTGGAAGGCCAAATGACATGTGATAGGCCTTGACAAGACATTCAGCAGCAGCTTTGGTTGCAGCATAAGGGTTTGAGGGTGCAAGGATTGTGTCTTCTGCACAATCTGGCTGTAGCGATCAATAAATTTTAAAATAAAATAAGAAAAAAGCATTGTAATATTGATGAAAATTATTTTATTTTATTTCTTTAACAAACAAAAAAGAAAGCTTACTCTGCTGACGACCTCTCCATAAACTTCATCGGTACTGACATGGATAAATCGACGGACTTTGTGCACCTTGGCTGCCTCTAGCATTACATGTGTGCCCATTACATTGTTCCTGTTATAACAGTCAATTTTAGATTTTGGAATTTGTACTTTATATACACATATATAATTGTTGACATACTTTGTAAATTCAAACGAGTCCCCAAAGGAATTGTCGACATGTGTCTGTGCGGCTAGATGGAATATTATGTCAATCTTTTTCTCTTTGAGGATAAAGGCCATGAAATCGGACGATGTGATGTCACCCTATTAAATATAATCCAAAAACAAAAAACAAACAAACAAACAAACAGCAAGACATTGACATATCCAGTTACATATTATATAATATATAGAACAGATTGATAATTCGTAAAAGATATGAAAAAGAGAGAAAAAGAAGCAAAACAAAAAATAATTGCTTGGAATTTGAGAATCTAACCTTGATAAAGGTGTAATTGGGAAAATCCTTGATCATCTTGAGATTGTGCAGTGAGCCGCAATAATCGAGTTTATCTACAACATAAATATGGTATTCTGGGTACAAGACCACTAATTTCCTGACCAAGAAACTCCCACTAGTCGGATTCAACACAAAGTATATTATTAAACAACAGCATTCACAAACACACACCAACACACCAACACACCAACACACCAACACATAAACACAATACAATATTGTAAATGTATCAGTCTTTCAAGTGCTTGTTTTTATATATTATTATTATTATTATTATTATTATTGTCTTGTATCCAAATATATTTATCGAATAAATACATACACTACACTACACTGCACACTGCACACTGCACACTACACATATCTATATGTATATTTATATGTATATAAATGTGTGTGTGTGTGTGTAGTGTAGTGTAGTGTAGTGTAGTGTATGTATGGTGAATACATATATTATTATTATAATAATAGTAATAATTTACCAATACATTTACCAATATAAATATATAAATACACACACACATATATATATATATATATAGATAGATAGATATGTACATATATACATACATATATAAATATATGTATACTCACATGAATCCAGCACCTCCTGTCACTAGAATAGTCTTGACGTCCCTTAGGTCAGAAGGAAGTTCGGTAACCCGGCTACCAATATCGGTTCGATCGAATTCTCGGATGGTACGAGATAGGCGAGCATGATCATCTTTTAATACATCATCAAAAGTTGGATCAATAGAATTAGATGATGATGGCATTGCTAGATGGGATAATGCTGGTAAAGATGCCATCGAACAGTCAAATAAGTTTAAATTTTTTTTTATTATAATAATTTTTTATTTTTATTTATATATTTTATTTTTTATATTTTATTTTTGTAGGCTGTCTTTATCACCCACATTAAATTCATTACAGTGTTTCTTACTCAAGATTGAGACGATGTTAGTTAGTGTTTTTTTTTTGGACGAATGAAAATTAATTTCTAGACAATATTCTTACCTTTTTTGGACAGACAAAAAATGAGAATTGAGACACAAAAGAATAAAATTTGGGATAGAAAGGGGATCTAGTTGAGACAAGGTAAAAGAAAAAGGAGATTCTGATAAAAGGTACTAATAGAGTAGTTAATCGAATATAAAAATCACAGTCGATTAAGCTTGTCTTTTTTCTTTTGATAAGCATACAAAAAATACAAATATATATATATATATATATATATGTAAAGAGCATCTTCAGTAGTCCTCTTTAAATACATTTTTATATTGAACTTAAATATTTTAGTTAAAACTGGTACTCCCAGCAGTTTATTTTTTATTTTAAATAAAAATTCAAAATTGTGTGTTCTTTGTAACACAATGATTGCTGCTTCCTCTTCTCCAACTCTGTCTGATGTGGTAACTGCCCACCCATGGTATAGAATGTTGCTTTAAACAGACGGTAGTTTTATTTGCTTGTAATAGACATTAAACTAGATTTCCTTGGCCTTTACCACAGAAAATGATGAATTGAACTGCCGGGAAAGTGGCTGTGCTTGGCTTTATATAAATTAAAAGATAACTCACTACTGAATATGTTCTTATTCACTTCTTGAGCATCTTTTCTTTATTTCTTTCTTTTCAATGTTACCCTACGATGCGTCCTACGCTCTATCCTGCAGCAGAAGAGTTGATTCGAAATAAAAAGCAACAAAAATTAGACGAGCAAGAACAAGGTCTCCAAGAAAAAGCTTTACTTTTACTAAAAGAAAAAGTAAATTGAAACATTCATCGGAGTGTACCCTATGTATTAAGCAAGAAACTAGTGTTCATCGTTATTTTATTATTTAGGACACAAGCACAATAATACTCTTGGTGAGTTGAGAGCAAAGAAAGCTGCTTATGTTCTCGTTGTTTGCAACTCATGTGGAGCTCAAGGTCATTCAACTAAAAGAAGTCCTATATGCCCAAACCATGACATGACTTTGCTACAGTTGTTAAATAGGGATCTTGGCCCTCATCAACGATATACCTTGTCCATTACTCTCGATTCCTTTATCTCCAATAATGATCATATACAACGTGCTCGAGGCAGAATTATCGTGCAATCGTCTTTCTTGCGCGAGGTGGTGTATAACGCACAGCCTTTTTATCAATTACTATATCCTTTGAGGCGTCTCAGATTTATCAACTGATTTAGTTGATCAAGATTTCTGGTACCGAGTTTACAGAGCAATTTATGGTCGTTTAACGATAGTATAGTTGCCACACCATTACCCTAGACTACAACATCTTCAGGCATTATATACAGAGCCGATGCAAACTAACGGAGTTAATCTTACTGTCAGCTTGAATGGCCTTAAAAATTATGGTGCGGTAGTATCTTCTGCATGCATGACTATTGCGACTACATACAACAACTGCTATGTAAAAAAAATTGAAAATATAATAGCAAACTATTTTATTTATATAACAAGAACGAATTTCAGGATAAAATATTATTATTGCTCAATTTATTTACATATATATATATATGATAAGCTTATATCAAATTTTAGTATCTTTCCATAATGGCAATAGAGAACATCGTATATGAACATTTACTGTATTAATAATTTCACTCACCCTATTCCCCCAACTAAACTTTTACTTGTATGTGCCAGTCTTTTTTTTTGGGGAGTTAGGTATAAGTATGAGAATGATCAATATCTACGTGACGGGTAAAGAGCTTAAAACAGTAATCGGGTGTTTGGTCAATAAAGCAAATTAATAAAAAAAAATATACTCATTCTTTTTTGGTTTCTTTTGTAAAGAATAAATAGAACATTTATTAGATTTCAAGATATTAATATCCTAATTTAACTAGCTTTTATGTAAATACATTATATATATATACCGAATATCCCTTTGAGCATATTATCCTTTACGTCAGAGTATATGTACTTGGTATCATTTTAATTCCTTTGATAAAAAATAATAATAATCTATCTAACTACAGTGTTTCTACTTGAGTTTGAGATAAAACAATTTAGCTTAGACAACATAGACACTTATTCAGGTATTTTGCCTATATGTCTAAATGTCTCAAAGAGACAAACTAATTTAGGTACAATGATTGGATGGTTGTTGCTTGTCTGCTTGACTTTATCACATTTTTGCAAAGCAGTTGGTCGATAGGTTCCTCTCCAAGTTGACAAAGCAACTGTCATCAAATTTTTTCAGCATTAACATCTCGCTGCCACAGTGTATTACAGGTTTTACAGACCAATAAAGAAAGGGGATTTGGATCGTCAAAAAGTTCAAATTTTCTTTTATTAAATAAGCACAACTTGAATATTTCTTTTTGACATGTATTCAATTCTCGGTGTGGCTAATATTCACTATATATAATGTTTTTCGAAATCTAACTGCTGAAGATGTTCTTAATGAACCCGAGTACTTGTCTAGAAATAAAAAATACAAAATTCAAGTCTAACTGCTTTCTAAAGATCTGATAAAATCAAGCGAACAAGTAGCAGCAACAACGACAATCCAATAATTTTATCGAAAATAGTTTGTCTCTTTGAGATATTTAGACTGATAGATAAAAAAAGCCAGAATAAATGTCTACTTTGTCTAAGCTAATTTTTTTTTGTCTCAAACTCAAGTAGAAACACTGTATTAAAATTATTAGTGTTTAATTACCGCGTCGGATTCAAAATAACTTGCGATTTGAGTTTGAATAATATTTTCTCAGACTCACAATTACGGCGCTCATTTTTTTTAAAAAAAAAAACTTATTTGATCCAAGTCTATCAGTAGTTTATTTGTTTATTGATTTTTTTTATAAAGTGAAAGAACAATAAAAAACTCTAAAGGGTCATGTGCATTTGCCATTATATCATATTAGTAAAAATCCAGTATTTAGGAACACTGTAATTAAGGAGAAGAAGAGGACTATTGCCAAAAAAATCCCTTATTTTTGTTTTACTTTTATTTTAAATCCTTCCTATTTATTGCTGGTACTTTTGTTGTTGGATTCTGTATAGTTTTGTACATATATAAAAGGTGTTTATAGTAGAATCGTTGCTTGTATTTTTGTAAATCGCCTTTTGGATGATTATTTCATGTTTTGCACTGACAAGCGTATAGTACAGTCTTTTCATTGACTTATTTTGTATGTAACATTTGTTCATTTTTGCCAATAAATATGGTTGCTAGATTTATTCTTTTTTACAATTAAAATTAAAAAATATTGCTGTTGCTTGTTACTGCTATTAGTTTACCTTGAAGCTAAAATAAGGTCACATGATAATGCAATTCATGGGCTCTATTGAAACAATAACCAAAGTATCTCAATACAAAAAAAAAGAAGAAAGAAGAAAAAAAGGCTGATATGTATGATGCACATCGAGCATACTTCTTTTTCTTTTAATTTTTGGTTAATATCTTTAAATATTTTTAAAATATATTTCAATTATTATTATTATTTTAAAAAATAATTAATAATAATAATAATAGTTAATTGTTTTAGGTGTGCCTGGGCTTTTGGTTCTATTTCTAATTTGCACTTTTTTTTTGATTTTTTTGGTTTATTATTTTATTATTTAATGTAATCTTGTTATCTAGTGGATAGAATATTTTTAGATATAGTGTTGACTATTAAAATAAGATGTAATTGGTCAATTGTTCTTTATTATAGGTACCAAGGCTTGGCTTGGCTTGACTTTTCTTCTTCTTCTTCTTCTTCTTATTCCTAAAAAGCACAAACAAGATATATATATATATATATACTTGTTTAGGTAGATAGAAAAAGAAATAGAAATAAATGTATCTAAAGGAGAGGAGCAAGAATGTGAAAGTCAAAAAAAAACTTGTATATCATTAATGGTGAAGAAATATATATGTTGTGTAATAATCTAATACATTTACCCTGCATATAAGGAGCTTTGTGTGTAGTGTGTTATAAGTAAGTGAAGGTCTGTCCGGCTAGATATATGCTTATCTAGATCTTGCATGCTTTATTTTATTTAATTTTATTTGTTTATTTTTGAGTGGCAATGTTGCTTTGCTTTAAAATACCAAAAAGAGATAGAACCCAGAAAATTATGAAAACAGCCAAAAGAATGTCTTTGTTCCAGCGTAATATATTGTGGCGTACTAGTAAGATATTAATGATTTGATATATGTATGTATGTATGTATGTATTTGTTTGTTTGTTATAGGACAACTAACAGTATATCTTCATTGCTTTTGCCTTATTCCTTTTCTTGCTAAATGTACAGACATAAATTATACATATAATCGATTGATTGTTTTCAATGTTATAGTCATTCTATGCACACACTTTCATATGTATAATTATAATTATTTTTTTAAGATTTATTTTGTGTGTATAATATACATATATATATATAATTTTAATAGGTGTTGTATTGTAATACTATGATTCTATAGAAGAATATCGTAATTACAGGCACAAATCACCAAACGATAGCCAAAAATAAAAAAGAAAGGGGGGAATAAGAAATAATGATAATAGAGCAAGTTGCTTTTTTGTGCTATATAAAAATTCTTATTGTTGTTTTATAGCAATTATCACGTTTTGCTATTATAATAGATTTCTTTAAAGAAAATAGAATACAGCACGTTTTCGTATGTATCCTCGTTGGTTCTTGCAAGTAGTCCACACCAACCTCGATACACACCATTCCATGTTTGTGTGTCTAGATCTGTGCGCAAAGACCCCATTTGACCTTACCCAGAGACCACAGGCTTTAATTATAAATATTTAATTATAGAAAACCATAAGGGCTGTATAGCTTGGGTTGTACGTCCCTTCTAATAAATGGCTCATTAAAGTTTGGATGTGTATCTTAATTTTTTATATAAATAACATTGTAACCAATACCCTGTTTGATCTCTTTATTTATTTTTATTTTTATTTATTTATATATATACTTCAAATTTCAAATTACTTTTCCTTTCTCTTTCTCTTTCTCTTTCGCTTTTAAAACATCTTTACCAGAATCATGAATTCTGATTCTATTCTATCCATCAAGGATGCTACTGGTAGACACCTTAGCCTACTGAATGAACCAAATCATTCACATAAAATCATCAGCCCTATTCCAAAAAACGGAATGCGTAGAAAATACCACTGTGCATTTAGTGGATGCTATAAGAGCTTTACTACCAGGTAGAACCATCTCTCTACTTTTTTTTTTGGTTTATTGATTTTATTGATGTATTCAACATATACGTAGATGTACTTACTCTGTATAAAATACATTTACGTATCCATAGTGGACATCTTGCCCGACATAACCGGATTCACACTGGTGAAAAGAACTTTGGCTGCCTGCACCCCGGCTGTCTTTCTAGATTCTCTCGCCAGGACAACATGATGCAACACTACCGAACCCATATTTCTCCCAGATCGCGTAGATACCAACGAGCATCACCTACCCAACCTTTGCACCAGTCAAATCCACCACTTGAATGGATCAGTTCTCGTCACCAGCCATCTCTTCAAATCCACATTCATAACCCTAACGACAATAGCAACCATATCAACAACATACCTAGACAGCTTTCAGGAAAATTAGTCAAAATAGTCAAACCACAGCCAATTAAGCCGGTTGTCTACGATTATAAACCCCAGCGCCTACACTCTAATCATTCAGTCTGTTCCTCAGCATCGTCTGCCTCATTCCCTCTTTCTCCGCCAATACCTCATCACTCCTCATCATTCCAGAACACCAAAATCAATCATCTTGATCTGCCTCCCTCACGCCACATGTCATACTCTCAAATTGTCAACACCATTGGTTAAGCACACACACATATAAGAAAAAGACACCAGGATAATAGTGGACATTCGTATTTTCCTTTTATTGGTTTATTTTTTTGTACATATTACAAATGTATCAAAATGTGTACATCCGAACGAAATCATTTCTTTATGCATTATGGTCAGCAATTTCATTATATTATATTGGCCAAGTTATTCATTTGTACCCAAAAACAATACCCTACATACACGCACGCACGCACGCACGCACACACACACACAGAAACAACAACAACAACAAACAATCACAAGGTTTATACACTATATTTTACATGTACCTTTCTTCTTCTTTTTACGTTATTTTCTATAGATCATTTACTCACTTATTCACATACACATTCACATACAAGCATATACAAACATATACATATACAGACATATGCATATATAAATATAAATATATATATATATATATATATATATATGCTTGTGTTTAAAATACTTCTTTTCTTTTCCTTTTGTTACAATCACCTCTGATTTATTTTCTGTATGCTTTTCTTCTTCTTACTACTCTTTTCCTTAACAAGCAATCATGACATACATACACACACACATAAATACGTTCATATAAACTATGTTTACTACATACACGAATGTATTACAATTACAATTATAATTACAATTACAATTACAATTACAATTACAATTACAATTACAATTACAATTACAATTACAATTACAATTACAATTACAATTACAATTACAATTACAGTTACAGTTACAATTACAATTACAATTACAGTTACAGTTACAATTATAATAATAATTATAATAATAATGATAATGATAATGATAATAATTAATATATTTACAAAATAAAATGGTGATAATGAGTTGGTGGGACAAAATTCTGCCACAATCAGCCTTTCACCCTGTTAAATTACAATAGGAAATCTAAAAAACGAATATTGAAAAAGTATAAAATAATAAGCAAATAAGGGGTAAAAAGAAAAAAGAAAGAAAATGACCCAGAGAACTAATGAACCTGAGCTGAATATAGATATAGAAGCAATAAATCAATGAATAAACAGATAATTAAGATAGGAAGAGCAGTAACAACAAATCAAGGGGGGAATTGATACACATTCTTCTGTTTGGTTTGCCCACAGCTTGTGCGAGCTTCTTTACATATATACATATATTTGGGTGTGGCATTCTTATAATATTTAGATTGTCTGGATCCATGCCTTTAGTAATTAAAACCCTGTTCTTTTTAAAACAAGCAAAGAGAGCGAATAAAGATCTACTTGTAATTGACCAGGTTTCATATAGATCTATAGATGATTATCAGTTTCTCTCTAGAAAACATATATAAATATATAAATATATAAAGGAAAACAGGAATAATTCCTTTAATATCTTGGTTGATAATAAGGAGGGCTGCCTTTTTTCTTTCTTTCTTTCTTTTCTTGGCTTTGTTTTTGATGGCAGTATTACTCTATTATTTTAAATACAGAAATTATATACAAAAGCCTTGGCGGTTTATACTCGTTCTTCTGGTTCTTTTGCTTCATGTATATATAAATATGGGAATTATTATTATTATTATAAATAAATAAATAAATAAATTAAAAATAAAAATAAAAAGCCAAATAATAATAAAGGGGGGGTCGTGGGGGAGAAGTATGAATCCTTGTTTGTTTTTGACTTTTTGTTTTTCTTTTGATTGTGTATTTTGTAGGCTAGTTATTTTAGATGGCTAGGAGCGTTGTGAAATAATGTCTTCCACATGTATGCTTCTGATAATAGCAACTCCACATCCTTTTCTACCCATCCTTGGGTTGGCAATTGCTGTAAAAATATCATCACGCCCTATAAAAAGATAAGATAATAAAAAGGTCATTTTTACTTGTCTTGTCTTGTCTTGTCTTGACCTTTCTTTTTCTAAATTGCACCCTTACTTGAAAATCCAACTTTTGAAGTTGATCGGACCACTTTACTAGAAAGGCAGCACAAACATACACATGGAACTCTGAAAACCCTTCTGAAGATCCTTCGGCCAAATATGTGTCCCACATCCGAATTGTGCTCTTCAAAGGCAACTCTCTCATTAAAAGGCAATTCATCCACCTAAAGGCAAACTGAATAAATTCAATGCCCTCTTGCTGTAAGTGGCTGGCCAGGCGCACTTCAAATAGAATAAACACCCCCCCCCCCCCCCCCACTTTTGTGTTAGCCAAAGAACAAAAAAAAAAGCATATTCACTGTGTAAGATAATTCAGTCCTACCATCAATGCGGCACACAAGTTCTTTAAGAGTCGAAATTTGTCGCTGAATACCAGGTTGCGCAAATGTATAGTTGTCCTAAACAAGAACAGCCAAAAACAAAACACAGAAAAA